CTATGAAACGCAGATATAAAATAAACTAAAAAAACTTGAATAGAGCCTGAACTTAAAGGTAAAGCTTTTATTAAGTTCAAAATAATGGAGCTTCAAAGATGCATGGCAAAAGGGAATATTTCTCAACTGAATAAGCACGTATTGAGTTACTGGCCGGCAAAAAATTGGCGGGTTCCAATCTGGATCCACAGACGCATAAAAAAATAAATACTGGCTGTATGTCCGCAAAGGTACATTTAAAGAAAGAAAAGTTTTAAAATGAAAAAAAAAAACTACTTATGACAGTTGGCCGATTCTTTTTATAATGTGTACATATTATTATGTATAGTAAAGGATATTGAAATTCGAGAGCCTAAAAACTCAAACACGAAATCTATTGTATAAGTAATATACACGTATTGTGAATTACAATGAATGACTTTCGAATAAGCCAAAATTTAGCGACCTACTTCAACGATTCATTCTTTAACAGTTACGTATTCAGTATACACGAAACAAATTTAACTTATGTAGCTTTTTTTTCCTACCTATGCTGTTAGCCTTGAGAGGCTATTTCAGCTTCACCCTAACGTGTAGGTGAGCTCACGGGGCTCAAACCGGAGTGTTGCTAACACTGGTCCTATTTTTTTATTTATTTATTGCTAGATGGTTGTACGAGCTCACAGCCCACCTGGTGTTAAGTGGTTACTGGAGCCCATAGACATCCACAACGTAAATGCGCCACCCACCTTGAGACACAAGTTCTAAGGTCTCAGTAAAGTTACAACGGCTGTCCCACCCTTCAAACCGAAACGCATTACTGCTTCACGGCAGAAATAGGCAGGGCGGTGGTACCCACCCGCGCGGACTCACAAGAGGTCCTACCACCAGTAATTACGCAAATTATAATTTTGCGGGTTTCATTTTTATTACACGATGTTATTCCTTCACCGTGGAAGTCAATCGTGAACATTTGTTGAGACGTACTTAATATTTTCATTAGAAAAATTGGTACCCGCCTGAGATTCGAACATCGGTGCATCGCTCAACACGAATGCACCGAACGTCTTATCCGTTAGGCCAGGACGACTTCTCCTAGGAAGAGCAGTGCTTCGCAGAATCTACCACCGGGTCGGAAACGCGTCCCACTGAGCAGATCCGGCAAGAAACTCAGTGGGCTGTGTCTATGGGTTTATGTAGCTTTTATTGAACTGTATTCTGAAAATGTATTTAGTGATGCACAATGAACTTTCGCTCCATTCAGACTAATTGTATCAAACCATTATAAACAGATTGAATTAGTTATTTATTGAATTTCACTTAATTAGAAATTGTTGTAAGTTAGGTATACTTTCATGTATGAATTAAAAAATATATATTTTGTAAGACAGCTGATTCGGGGACTGTCATAGAGGACCGATGTTCAAAGTTACATATGGTTAATTGAAGCATCAAAACAGATTATACTAATAAATGTTTTGCGGCAGAAATAAGAAAGAATTAATTACTAATTACCACTTGTGTGCCTACTTCTGCCGCGAAACAGTCATACTTTGCGTACGTCGAAGATAGCAAGTTAAAATCTACCTCCGAAGTACCTATAATAATAAAAGGTATTCAAAAAAAAAACGACGCGCGAACTCCTAACATCCCATTATAATACCTCAATATAGTTGAACCTTCTGTATTATTTTTATTGCGGTCTATTTTTATTTTTATTGTTTTTGATCAACACACGCTCACTGCCTCACGTTAATCAGATACCGGAGTCCGAAGAACGCTGGTCGAATATCCGCTACCCACATCGACACGAGATCGAAGTTAAATTTCATTGTTATGAATGTTCTAGAAGCCGTAACTCCATTTCACAAAACGCCCTATCACCATTACAAAAGTATTACATCATTTTAAGGGCCAATTTGAATTTTCACTCGATTTTAAGCATTGAACATGACTACGAATAATATTACGTGGATATTGACGTCCTTATCCTTGTCGCTGCCTCACCGATCACCAGCAATAGCAAACTTTCAAATGTATTAAACGATTTCTTATGAGTTTTCTTACTGTATATGTATGTATGTGTGAGTTTTAATAATCTGTTCTATTACATATCTGTATTATTGTTTATATAATTCCATTTTATTATATATTTTTATTTATTTATTGCTTAGATGGGTGGGCGAGCTCGCAGCCCACCTGGTGTTAAGTGGTTACTGGAGCCCATGGACATCCACAATGTAAATGCGCCACCCAACTTGAGATATAAGTTGTAAGGTCTCAAGTATAGTTACAACGGCTGACGCACCCTTCAAACCAAAACGCATTACTGCTTCACGGCAGAAATAGGCAGGGTGGTGGTACCTACCCGTGCGGACTCACAAGAGGTCCTACCAAACTCCTCCACAAGAGGTCCTTACTTGGTATAAATTTTAAAGTTCTAGAAAATTCATAAGATATTTGCCATAAATACTATATATTTTCTCGTAAACATGTCAGTGCCAAAACTGTATCAAAAAGATTGAACATTTTGTTTTGTTTTTTTGCCTTATTTTTGCGGATAAACATTTCGTGAATACTAAAATGAATATGTATGAGCGTTCAAATTTTAATATTACGAGGACTAATAAGGATTAAAGAAATCGCGTTCTTATTGAGATTTTTAATTAAAATAAAGGATAATTGAGCGATAAAACGTTTGATTGGCGTCGTATGCGACTTTATTGTGATAACTGTATCAAATTTATTTATTTGTTTATAACTTCATATACTAGAAAGTATAAAGGCGGACTTAATGCCATAGGCATTCTCTAACAGTCTACCTTAGGGGAGTGCAGAGATGAAGCTTGGTAGGTGTAGTGTGAAGGTGATATTACTTAAACATAGGTGTTTAAATTACATTATTTATATTACTGAACGCTTCAGTCTGTGAATCTAGTGGTACATTAATATGACGTTTTAGGCGATCGTTTTAAGCTCATCCGTCATTAAAATAATAAACCTTTGACCAGGAGATCCGGCTTCAATTCCCGATCGGAGCCAGTCTCTATAGAATCTGAATATTTTATTTAATGGAATGTGGAGACACGTAACACAGGAGAAAATTCTAGCCTGAAGTCGTTGAGTGTAACGTTTATTAGGTAGTACAGTGACATTTATCCTAGCGAGACAATACGTCCTACCAGAAGTAGTGAGTTATAGATATGCGCACAGAGATTTATAGTTATTAAAAAGTAAAGTTTTTTTTATTGCTCAGATGGATGGACGAGCTCACAGCCCAACTGGTGTTAAGTGGTTACTGGAGCCCATAGATATGTACAACATAAATGCGCCACCCGCCTTGAGATATTAGTTCTAAGGTCTCAAATATAGTTAGAACGGCTGCCCCACCCTTCAAACCGAAACGCATTATTGCTTCACGGCAGAAATAGGCAGGGTGGTGGTACCTACCCGTGCGGACTCACAATAGGTCCTACCAGCAGTAAGATACTCAATTAAAATTACTTTTTCGGTTCAATCTCGCTTTTGTTATTGTTATTTTCTTACTACTGACGTTTGGAATACTTTACATTTTGTGTATTGTGCAAACTACCGTCTCCATGTCTATCTTAAGTTCAGTGATCTCGTACGCATATTCCTTAATTTCCGAAGCGGTCTATTTAAATACATATCATCTATTCAATACGTACAAGTCTGTATGTTTGTTCGTTGTGTTATTAACAGTTGTCGAATGAATCGTCACATAAATTTTGGTTTTACATATTATCTTACTTTCTGTTATATAGTTATATCATTATATTTGAGTTTTTTGTTAGATTCCACTTGAAAGGTAATAAACAAATACTGTCTCGTTGTAATTGTTAATCCTAAATAAAATAGTAAAACAATGTATATATATACTTTAAAAATTACTTGAAATAAATTTAAGTTTATTTATTTATAATTTAAAGTGAAAATTTGGGACATATTCTAGTTCTGTAAGAGTTTGAAAACACGATTTAAATAGTTTCTGCGGAATGCTTCACGCCTGCCCGTTACAAATATTTCGTTTCTACCTGCATTTCTTATTCGCCACGAGATCTCGAGATTTTAAACCTAAGTATCCATAATAGATCCCCGTCGCAGAACCGACACACTTTTGAGAAATTAGTCGGTGATATCTGTCTGCCGCGAAGTCGCTTTGTCGGTGTTTTTTTGCCCTTGTCCTTTAGAAAAAATCATCCCTAAGGTAAGGTTTTTTCCCCGAGTCCCGTACCTTTTAATTAGGATGCTTTTTGAAAAGAACCTTTTGTGGCGGGAAATTAGAAATTTTGTAAAATGCGAAGGTAATCTGATTTTGATTATAGTTTCGTATGTTTTGGGAGATTTTAACGAATTTTGTTGGGTTTCGAATTGCCTTTTTTTTTAGGGATAAGAAAATAATGGGACGATAAAATCGTTAAGGTGATTAGATGTGAATCAGAATAGGTTTTTTTGATTATTCAAGATTTAATTATTAAAGTATTTGAGTAAAATTGTATTTTATTATTAAGAGGTAGATAAGATTCGAGAATAATGCGAAATTTCGGCACGAACAAATATAATGCGATCGAAGGTGAATATAAAAAAAAATACGACTTAGTTGAGAAAACTCAATGATAAAAGGACGCCACCTACGTGTTTACTTTACAAGTTCAGATGTTTAAAACACAACATCGAGGGGTCGTGACCTGTCTACTGAATACTTGGGGCTTTAGCAAAAATATGGATTCGTGCAAAGTACAGATATTGATGTGTCTACGAGTCTACGGCGGTATCTACAGAGGTACTACGCGCCACTACGGCGGGCCACACGCCGCTGCTCGCTGAATGTCGAGGGTAAACAAACAAAAACAACGCGCGGTAGACGCGGCTGCGGCCAGCATTAGTCGCCGGTTTTGGATCTGATCGAACATAACCTAAAACCGGCGTGGCACGTGCGCCCTTACATAAGGGTGGCGCTGCTAACGTCCGACCTCTCAGCTGTTCGAGGGCTCGCGTACCTTGTCGTCCGACGATCTCGGCGACGTGCTCGGAGGATGGCACCGGCACGCACTCCGTCATGTTCTGCGACTTCTTGGTCCGGTCGTCCGGAGGAGGCGCGAACCCGAGCGGGCTCCCCAGCGGGTTGCTCGCCGGCAAGTTGTCGCCCAGGCTCAGCATGCTCAGCTCCAGAGCCAGCTTGAACGCGCGCTGGTCTTCCACCAGCCCGCCTCCGCCGCCTAATTCGCCGAAGAGGCTCGTCGGCATTTCCACTTGGGAAGCTATTTTGTCGATTAAGGAGAGGTTTCCCTCTCGGTCACTGGTACTGAATAAAAAAATAATAGACGGGGTGCGTTCGATCGTTTTAAGGTGCGCGTTTGTTCATGTAGGGCGCGTGTGTTCGCGTCGCAGCGCGCTGAGGAACTGAGTCGCCGGCCGGCGGGCGCAGGCGCTGTGCGTGGTCGCGGCGCGGGGCGCGGGGCGCGGGGCGATGCACCCGGCTGGGATGCGGCCCGCAGCTTCCGCCCGCCCTGCGCCACCATCACACAACTACCACCTAATTATTTCGGGCTCACGTTTTACGGCAGAGCTCGCTCGCCGGTGATAACACTAAAAACATGATTTATTGATAAACAAACACATTCAAGTACTATAAGCTCAGATAACTAATTCACGTCTAACTCGCCACTGTTTCTCATGTGTAGTCCTGTACTGTCTTACACAGCATTAGATTCACTTAGTCGTTGCTTAAATTGGACAATGTTAAAATTAGCAATTCTGACAATAGTAGGTATTACAAAAAAAACGTGTTGCCAACAATAAAAAATAAAAAAAATAAAACGTATTTCAAATACGAACAAATCTAGCGTACGTTATAATACGTTACACTTACAGAGGCCTCACTAAAGTTTCGTGTATGTACGTTAAGGAGTTCACCATCGCGGCGTGAACCGAACGTAATCACCATTATAAAACAAAAGCCGACGTGTTACCGCGAACACAGAGTCGTGCCCCGCGTCAATCAATTATCACCTAATTAAAACAAAAAGAAAGGTTATAATTAAAGAGAGCTTCAAGTTTATTTTCATTCTAGTTTGTCGTTAAATCGAGCTTTCGAATTGATTGATTGTATGTTTAAAAAGTTGTATTTTAAATTTACTACTATTTCCCTTTATTTTGGATAATAATTATTGATGAGTGACGTTCTTGAGGGTTACCAATTTTAAATATTTGAAAATATTGTGTTTTTTCTTCTTTCTAAACGTCAAAACAGCTTTGTAGTCTTTCAGTACTCGACTCGACTAACAGTACTTATTTCTTTATTTATTAGTTTAGTTATTGAAAAACTTTAGTCTTTTCAGGTTTTTTTTTAAATGATAAATAGTACTCTGCTTAACACAACCAAAGAGAAAATCTGTGTGTAACATGGAAGGAAATGAAATTGACTTTTGGATCAGTCCGCTAACACTAGTTTAGTTCAATATAAAATCGTGAAGATTATGCTTTTATTTCTCAAATGGGTGCGCGAACTCATAGCTCACCTGGTGTACAGTGATTACTAAAGCGATAGACATTAACAATGTAAAGGCCACCTACCTTGAGACACGAGTTCCAAGTCTGCCCAGACTGAAACCCATTACTGCTTCAGACATAGGCAGGGTGATGCCACCTACCCGTGCGGGTAAAATACGCCCTACCACCAGTAAATACGCAAATTAAAATTTTTGCTAGCTTCATTTTTATTAAAATATTTTATTCCTTCACCGCGGAAGTCATTCTTGAACATGTGTTAAGTACGTATTTCATTATATACATTGCTACCCGCCTGCGGGATTCGAACGCCGACACCGGCGCTTCGCTCGACACGCAAATTATAATTTTGCGGGTTTCATTTTTATTACACGATGTTATTCCTTCACCGTGGAAGTCAATCGTGAACATTTGTTGAGTACGTATTTCATTAGAAAAATTGGTACCCGCCTGCGGGATTCGAACACCGGTGCATCGCTTCAACACGAATGCACCGGACGTCTTATCCGTTAGGACACGATGACTTCTTAATTGACCAGTACTACTTTTAGAGTTTATTTTCGAGTTTTTATTTTATTGCTATTACATTATATCCGACATTATTTGCTGGATGGTGGTGGGTGGCGACGTTTACATTATGGCGCTTATAGTCTCCGGTAACTACTAAACACAAGACGGGTTTTGAGTTTGTTTATCCATCTAGAGCTTTAATAATACTAGACGATGACCGAGCATTGCTCGGTTTTTTTTTGATAACGCCATCTTGTTGTGTCTTTAAAGCAGTTAGTTGCCCTCAATTAAGAAAAATAGTATTATTATTCGCTAATAGATGTCGGGAAAAGTTGATTATTGAAAACACGAATAAAACAACATTTTCTGAAAATAAATCGTAGCTAGATCGATTAATCGCCCCCGAAATCCCCTGTATACTAAATTGTATGAAAATCGTTGGAGCCCTTTCCGAGATTCAGATTGTATATATATTAATATGCAAGAATTGCTCATTTAAAGGTATATAAAATATATCTGGCGGGCTAGTAAACACAGCATTGTTAATCTATCCAAAACGTTATTCATTCTTTTAATGAGATAGAATTTTCTCGAAACCCGAATATCTGTCACGAAGACACCGACTTCGACTAAGAATCGAACCCGGGTCTCGTCGTCGTCTAAAAGTAAAGCGATATTAATTAATGTAATTACGCTCGGTGTAACACTTCGTTATCACAAATTCCCGCAGCCCGAGGTTATCATGAGAAGTGGCGCTTCAATTCGACGAACAACGTATTCTTTAGAAACGACCGAATCATTATAAAAGTTTCGCAATTCATTAATAAATTGTGTACACATACATATCGACGCTTGAAAGGCAAACGGGACTAAGCGACAATGCGTAAACTTTACAGTAGACTAATTTAAAGTTGAAATACCTGAATTTTTTTTATATTTTAACGAATCTAGCTGTAGGATTGAAATGATTTTAATAGACCTAGAAATTTTTTTTTTTGCGCATCGAATATGGTTATTGTCTATCATTTATGTACAAAGCAGTTATTGTCGCTTAGTCACGCTTGCCTTTCAAGCGTCGATATGTATATTACCATGTATGATATTCGTCGGTCGCGTATGGCCTTATTGCTGTGAATACTGAGCCAGATCACCAAAATCATCTAATGCCTGTTGTTTGTAATCCTTTGACTGCTGTGTAGGTCACCGCACCGGTGCTCTATGCGCTGAAGTAATTAGGTCGATTTCTGTTACTAAGGAGTCTGGATCGCCTAACTTCGCCTTCTTTTTAATGCGCTTTTATTATGCTTTATGGTGCTTTTTAGGATATTATCAAAGCAACCCTTCTACTCATATCTGTTCATAAAATATTTATAACTATTGATACCATGCACCCCACGCTTTTTTTACAATAAAATATTTTTTCTTACGCTATTTTTAATTCAAATTTATTAAATTAAAATTTATTTTCTATTTTTAGTTAGATTTTCTATAAAAGATTTCTTTTAAACTATTATTTATGTTTATAATATATGTTATAGTCTTTTACGTGCCTTAGAAATATAGGTATTTGAAGAGTTTAACGACGGAGAAAGGGAAGATCTTCCACCGAGCGGGTGATATTGCTCGGTAGACCGACGGTCCAAATGTTGTCGTTCGGAACTGGTATAGTATATGCAAGCTTATCTAAAAAATGTTGTAAGCGAGATTCAGGCATCTATCAAATATCTTTCGTTGTTTTTTTTTTTATTGCTTAGACGTGTGGACGAGCTCACAGCCCACCTGGTGTTAAGTGGTCACTGGAGCCCATAGACATCTTTTTTTTTATTTTTTTTATTGCTTAGGTGTGTGGACGAGCAAGAGGTCCTACCACCAGTAAGATGGCTATCGCCATATATTCATTCTTAGTATCTTCGGATTCGTCTTTCCCTTAGTCTACTAGATATTTCGGCGCCTTAGTAACAGAAATGGATACAGTTACTGGTGGTAGGACCTCTTGTGAGTTCGCGCGGGTAGGTATCACCACCCCGCCTATTTCCGCCGTGAAGCAGTAATGCGTTTCGGTTTGAAGGGTGGGACAGCCGTTGTAACTATACTTGAGACCTTAGATCTTAGATATCTCAAGGTGGGTGGCCCATTTACGTTGTAGATGTCTATGGGCTCCAGTAACCACTTAGTACCAGATGAGCTGTGAGCTCGTCCACCCATCTAAGCAATAAAAAAAAAGGAAAAAAAAGTTTTTTCAGTGGGCCACGTGGGGCATCGATGACCTACACGGCAATAAAGGGTTATAGCCAGAGTGCCAATAACTGTATAGTTTATACCTCAAAAATTAGCCAACGGACACTGAAAACAATCGAACATGCTTCCTCAACACACCCTAACGTACACCACTAGTTATACAAGTCTATAATAATCCTGACACAAAAGAATCCGTTTTCATACCCGGTCAAGGGCAACGGGACCTATACAAATTACTATTAAAGTTAGTAACTGACGGTGTTCTAAATATTTTCTCACGGTACGCAGCTGTACTCACTGCTACACGTCGACAATTGATTGCACCCCTCTGTCTGCGTTGGGTTCCTCTTTTTTTTCGTGTAGGTGAGCTCTCGGGGCTCAAACTGGAGGTGTTGCTAACACTGGCCCTAGGAAGAGCAGTGCTTCGCAGATTCTACCACCGGATCAGAAACGCGACCCACTGAGAAGATCCGGCGAGAAACTCAGTGGGCTGTGTCTATGGATTAATTCACACGTCGAGCCCTTCATTGCAAGCGACGGGTTTGGCGAGGACGGTGACCGGTGCCTGAGGTACCTAAAAGCAACGTTAATGGATCGAGAGGATCCGTAATGACGTATTTAGGGCGACGTTGACTGTTTACCGTTTGGTTCACAAGATCGGGTATATAATTTCCGGCGGCCATGACAAGAGGGTTTTCAAGTTGCGTCGCCTTCTCAAAGTGGCGCATTGATGCTTGACTTACTGATTGAGACAAGCTCTAGATTATCATGGAGATCCACGTTCCTTAAGAACCACGGTGCTCCTACACGGCTATCCTGCAAAATCGGCATTGAATAACATGAAGTGGGTTCCTCAATCAAACTATGTTAGATGGACTGTAATTGCGAACTGGATAATGCCGCTGTCATGCCCGTCTTGACACTTGAAATATCATACTTTATTGACATCGAAGCTAGCCTTAAGTCGATGACCACCGCTAGATCAGTTTAAATTCTTTGACGACAAAAGTTCGACTTCGTGACAAAAGCTATCTCTGGAGATACCCTGTCGAAGAGCGTTTCACGTGTGTACTTTGAGATGACCTCAAGCAATTCC